AAGCATTTCGGTCTCTTTCTAGTGTTACAAAATCAGGTTCCGCGCCTCCCTTACACATGTGCTTCGGTAAAAATTAAAATTATCAATTTTCATTTATTCCCCTCTTATCCCGCAAATAAGCTCCTTCTCTGCCGTCCACCGGATGGGGCCTCGTCGGCGTCCCCTCCCCCTATTGTCTGGGGGGCCATTTGGGGCGCCAGCCACACTTGACGACCAGTTAATAGTGATCACTCTTGCGGGGGGGGGGCAGTTAAGGAAGCATGTCTGATGTGAGAAGAATGTCTGATTGCGGTTTAGGCCCAATCCCCAGGATCAAGCCTAAACCGGCAGTCGGACATCCCCCGAGGGGTCCCAGATTGGTCCCAGACTGGGCTGAGGGAATCCCCCACTGCACGAATTGCGTGCACCAGGCCTCTAGTAGTTAATAATGCTGTACTGTATACTTGAAATTTGCTAAGAAACCAAATATTAAGTGTTATCTCACACATGAAAAAGGTAAATACAATAGTCTTCTCTAATCATGGGTGATACATTCCAAGCAACCATGAGTAGCATCCAGCCCCGTACGTAAGGTGATGGATGTGTTAATTTGATTGTACTAATCATTTCACAATGTATATGTACAATAAATCGCATCATACATTTTAAATATGCACAATAGTATTTGTCAATTATACCTCAATAAAGCCAGAAAAAAAGATCTAAATACTATAAATAGAACCATCCAGGACAGTCTTAAAAAATAACCCATGGAGCCCTAGCTGGTGTGGCTCAGTGGATAGAGCATTGGCCTGCAGACTGAAGGATCCCGGGTTTGATTCTGGACAAGGGCCCATGCCCGGAATGTAGGCTCAATCCCCAGCAGGGGCGTGCAGAAGGCAGTCATCATTGATGTTTCTATCTCTCTCTCCCTCTCCCTTCCTCTCTGAAATCAATAAAAAATATCAAAAAATTAAAATAAATAAAATAAAATAAAAATAACCTATGGGACTGGTAAGTAATGACCATGATGATGCCTGTAATTGCCAGCACAGGCCAGCACAAGAAAATGTCAAATAAAAAAGGGGGGGAACTGAAGTGCCATCTACCCGGATACATGGCCCAGCCAGGTGGGTCATTAGGCTCCTATGCGAGTCCAGTACAGCATGTATTCAGGCTGCAGGGAGATGAGGGCCGTGCAAACAAACAGGCCCTACCACGGACAGCAACTGCCCAGAAAACCGGGGAGGCGAGCAGAGCCCACAGTCCACATGTGAGGACAGAGCGCCCCCTGGGGGAAGGGGGACAGGGGGCCAGTCCAGGTCACTGGGGAGAGTGAGGGTCTTACCTTGAGAGGAAACAAGTGCAAAGTTCTCCAGCATCACCTCGAGGTACAGGCCTCTCTGAGCCTCAGCAAGGAGGCGCCACTCCTCCTTGGAGAAGTGCAGAGCGACATCCGCAAAGGTCACAGGATCCTGGCAGGATTTCAACAAATAAAACCATGAACAGTGTCTCTCGGTCCCCAACTCCTCGTACATCTTTCCATTGTCGTCCTCGAGGGCTCCCACCTCAGAGGAGACACCAGGCCCTGGTGCCGGTGATGCTGTCTGTCACGGTGCCATCAATCACTGTTCTCGCTCTCAGCAACGACAGCCCGACAGGCGGGGGGGAGGGAGGACGCAGATAAATGTTATCTGAGCTCTGAAGCGGGCCTGCACCCCTCCTGAGAAACAATTTACCTGGGGTTTCCCACATTGTGCCTCTAAGACACAGCCAAAAATGTGATTGCATGTTCAGTACAACAGCTCTGCCACCTTCTGGTCCGTACCACAGGCATATCACTGGACTCAGCCATGTACTTGGCACATGACACCCAAAGGGTGCACAATCCGTCCTCTGAGGGATCTCCCAGCCACGAAAAGCCCCAAATGAGACCCTGAAGACCTCCCTGCCCACCTCTGATATGTACTTCAATATTAGCCCCCAGAACCACATGTGAATTTCAGATGATAACCCCCGTCTATTTTCTGCACGGTACCTGATAACCGCACGGCAGCCACAACCTCCTCCCTCCACCCGACCTCCCTTACAGGTAGGGACACAATGACCACATTTGTCCCAGACCTTACCCACTGGCAAGGTATAAACTCCCCAGATTCCATCCAAACTCACCACAAAGTCCTGGTGAATCCATACAGCAGTGGATCAACAAGAAGCCCTGTCCTCTAGTGTCATTCCTCTCTTTTTTTAAAATATATTTTTACTGGTTTCAGAGAGGAAGGGAGAGGGAGAGATAGAAACATCAACGATGGAAGAGAACTACAGATCAGCTGCCTCCTGCGCGCCCCCTACTGGGGATGGAGCTCGCAACCCTGGCATGTGCCCTTGACTGGAATCGAACCCGGGACCCTGCAGTCCGCAGGCTGAAGCTCCCAAACCGGCTAGGGCTAGTGTCATCTCCTAATTGCTCCTCTGCCTTCGTGGCCATCCCACGGAAGCCTGGGCTCCCCCACCCCCTGCCAGATCAACCTCCCTCCCACACCATTCCCGCCATGGCTTCCCTCCTCAGCATGCACTCTCTTCTCTCTGATCCCATAATTAGCATTACCACCACGACCTGCATTCCCCTCCTTACATGTGATCCACGGCTCTACCCAGGTCCACAATGAGAGCCATCCCTTCTGCATGTCTCCATCATGAAACCCTCCCAGATTTCCAGGCCTGTGTGTCCCGTTAGTCACTTGATGCCTCCGCTCACTGTTCTCTGAAACTTCTCAGACCAACGACAAGCATTATTGGATGAAGATGCGTGTCAAACTCAAAAACAACTTGCAGAAAGATTAAACGTGGCTCAGCAAACACTTTCCGATCGTTTACAAGCAATGGGAACGATTTTAAAGGAAGGAAGTGCCACATCAACTGAAGGAAAGACACATGGAAAACCGAAAAGTCATCAGTAAAATGTTGCTTCATTGGTTTGGCTTATATGCGTGTATACAAGTCCTTCAGTTGAATGGACATGGACAACAGGGGGATGGGAGCATGGGTGTGTGTGTGGGGGGGGAGGTTGGGGGTTAACGGGGGGGATGAGGACACATTTGTAATACCTTAACTAATAAAAAATAAATTTAAAAAAATGTTGCTTCAATGGCACGAAAGAAAGTCTTTTTTGCATCGAATTGTGACTGGTGATGAAAAGTGGATTTATTGTGAGAATCCCAAAGGCACAAAATCATGGGTTGCTCCAGGTCAACCATCAACATCGACTGCCTCCATTGCTTCAGCCGCTAAGCTAAGACCAAAAATCCTGAGGTTGTTCCCAACGCCTCCTTCCCCACCCCCTCACCTACAACATCCAAAAACCTACACGGCCCGTCTTTAAAATGGACCCAGAATCCAACCTCTTCCACCGCCACAGTCACCTCTCCTGTCCAACAACTTCCGTCTGGATTAGAGCAGCTGCCTCCTCCTCGGCTCTGACTCCTCCCTCAGCCC